TCGGGTCTGGAGCTGAAACGAGCGTCCCGCTGAGCTGCAGCTCTGCCCCGCTTGTGTCAGTGCTTGGTCGGTACCAGGCAGTTCCCGGTCTGTAACACACTGGTGTGGCTCAGTGTTAATGACCAAAAGTCCAGGTTGCTGTTTTCCTTCACACGAAAACCATGGGAAGGGGAGCCCGGCAGCTCAGGTGTTGGAATTTAGGTGTTTGTCTTCCCTTACAAACTGGCACTGTTGTGGGTTTGTTACTTCTGGTAGACTCCTGAATGCATCCACTTTAAACTGGCAGCATTTACTGTCTGCCTTTAATCTCCGGTTTAGATGTTGATGCCCAAGAAGAACCGAATTGCCATCTACGAGCTCCTTTTTAAGGAGGGAGTGATGGTGGCCAAGAAAGATGTCCACATGCCGAAGCACCCCGAGCTCGTGGACAAGAACGTGCCCAACCTTCATGTCATGAAAGCCATGCAGGTATGGAGGTGAGGGTGGGCTGCCCCCAGCCAGGGCAGCTGCCTCCCTGTGAACAAACATTATCATCCATGAGCAGATAAACACTGTCAGAAACATCGGCTCTTTCTTTCCTGTTACAGTTACTTCCTATTTTCCTGATTTTTGCCGTTTTCTCTTTGGTTTATTGTCCCCCACAGACCAGAGGTTATTTTTTTGTGGCTCCACATCTCCAGTTTCATTTCTGAAGCTATGACCCCTGTGTGTGTGGTAGCCTTGTGTTTTTTCACAGGGTAGAAACAATGCTGTAATTTAGACCTGTGTGTGTGAACTCTTACCTGTTCCTGAATTCTCATTCCCCACATACCCCTGATGAGCTCTTGTGCTCATAAAAACATCTGGTGAGGGTTTTGATCAGAGGTGGTGAATGATGATCAGGCTCAGATGTGAACTAATGGAGAATTCTCTCTCTCTAGTCTCTGAAATCCCGTGGTTATGTGAAAGAGCAGTTTGCGTGGAGGCATTTCTACTGGTACCTGACAAACGAGGGCATCCAGTACCTGCGCGATTACCTTCACCTGCCCCCCGAGATCGTCCCTGCAACCCTGCGCCGGAGCCGCCCAGAGACAGGCAGACCACGGCCCAAAGGTGAGCTCACAGGGAGCTGTGCTCAGGGGTGAAGCAGGGGACAGGTTGAGTGTGCAAGTTCAGCGCACAGTCGGCTGAACATCAGCCTCCGGAGCAGAGCAGTGTCTGTTGTTGTGATTTTTGGGCTTCTAAACATGGACAGATGAAGGAGACGTGTAGGTTTTATTGCTTCAGTATTTGGCACTCGTCTGATGGCCACTGGCCTGCTGAGAGAGGGCTAAAGGAAGCTGTGAGACTGACTGGGTGAGCTGCTTCGAGTGAGAGACTTGGCCTCTGGTGGCACTGGTGCCTGGAAGAGCAGGCCTGCTGGAACTGCAGGCCCTGGGTTCAGGCACCACTTGGTTCCTAGGCATGGCTGAGGTGTGGGATGAGGGATGCCTCTGGCTGCTGGGGCTTTCCAGAAGCGGTTTTTGTCGTTTGGGAAGAGCCTGCTGCAATCCTTCCCTGTTGTTTGGGAAGGAGGATGGCGTGTGTGCAGCCCACCTAGTGCAGCAGGAGCAGAGAACCTCGTCTCTGGCTGAGTTATACTTAGAAGAACTGCCTGGAGGGCTGGTGTGTAAAAGTTGAGTGGCTTTGGTTGGGGTGGGTGAAATGGGGAACAAACTTGGGGTGCAGGATTCAGGGACTGAGGGAAAGCCACGTGTTGGGTGCTGGATATGCTTCACATGGGAGTTCAGGCATGGTACCAGCAGGCAAGTGGGATATCCACAGTTCTGGCTTTATCCTGTGTGCTTTTGGGCAAGTCCCATTATTAAAGCTGTCTTCCCTTTTTTAAAGGTTTACAACAAACACGTGTGGTTTGTTGGGTTTGTAGTTGGTTTTGTTTTCTTGGTGGGTTTTTCCTACCCCAAAGTGAAGGACATGGTGGTCATGCAAACAGATGTGCTGCTGATACCGACTTCTCACTTGCCTGCAGCTACTTCTGCATGGGTGCTTCCCTGCAAAATGTCTTGTAGACCCACCTGCAGGTGGCTGAAACCTATTTCCAGAAGGTGTTCTGGTTGTGAATAGGTATATTAAATGATAAAAGTTTGGGTTGCAAACCTGCCTCTCGAGGCCACGCAAGGCAGAGGAGACGCTTTTACTTTGTGGATGCATGGTATTGGGCTGTGAATGGCTTGTGAACCATTTTGATACCCTTTGTGGTGAGCAAAGTCATAGAACAGTGCAGTATGAATAAACTTGAGGTGGATGTGCTGAAGCCACCGTGTCCCTTGGTTCAGTTCTGAAAGAGTTACTGTGTTCCCAGCTAGTAATTCAGGGTAGGAAGGATGATTATGTTGCTTGTATGTGTTCAGAGATGCTCCGCAGAACCCCATACACTTGGTTTTCCTAGTTTCTTCTGTCCAGCAGTAGAGAAGAAAACACCACAGTGCAGCACATGGATAGTAGAATTGCTCAGAAGATCTATGGGGAGATAAAAACTTCTGGAAACTTAGAGAAAGTGGGAGGGAAATCACTGCAGCTGTGGTTGGTGGAACAGCATTGCCAGGTCTTTAGGGGCAAGAAATGTTTCTTCTCCTTCAAGGCAGGTGATGGTAGGTTTGTTTGGAGTTGCCTCTTGTGTTTGCGAAGAATAATGTTGTAGGATGCCACTTTGCTCTTAAAGAAAGACCCACTCTGTGAAAGGGGAGCCCTGCATGACAGAGCTCTTTCTGGCATAGGAGTCCACTCTTCCTTCCATTTGCCAGTGTCATACCCCATGGGCAAAGTACTGGATGTTGCAGTGGAGCTGGAGGCTGTGGGCACAGGGTGCTGAGGAGTTACCTCTATTGCCTGCAGCTTGTTCTTTAAGCCTAACAAAACTGTAGCATCATACGCTTCAAAGGAAAGAACTGCATTGGAATTAGGAAGATGTTGGTTTCTTTGATCTCCAAGTAGTTTTGGATGTTGCCAAATCTATTCTTTAGATGCTGTGCTCATCCGGCAAGCTGCAGGAATTGTCTCCAGTGGGAGCGAGAGGTTTACAGCTCTTGTCTAAAACTTGCTCAGGGTTTCTGCAGAGAGGCAGCTTCCCTGTGCAGCATTGCAGCCCTTCTCAGTGCGGTGCCAGTGACCTCATCTGGTCCACACCTTGGCAGGGTTAGCTGGCAGGGCTGCACAAGTTGGCTGTTTCTGTGTGGATCACCTGGCTGCAGCAGACTGAGAGTCGCAGAGTGTGTGTGCATGGTGGTGCAGAATCCACACTTCTGGGTCTTGCTTGACCTCTTGGGGCCTTTCCTCTACTTGCATGCAGTGCTACTGACTTTCTCAAGTAAGGCTTGGTACAGAAGCTGGAACAGTTAGTTTAAAGCAGCTTTCACACTCCTGTGTGTTTGCTATTTGCAATTTATTTCTGTTACAGGTGTAATTGAACTGTTAGAAATGAAGAATGGGCAGATGTGAAGTTTAAAAAAGCCTCCAAATCCATTGGTTGGGGGTTTGCTCTGATGGTTTAACCTGACAGAAAGGAAGGATGTAGAAGCACTTGTAGGATAATGTAAATCTGTTTGTGTATCAGTGGGTGGTGTTTCTCTTTGTAATAAAAGCAATGATTATAATAACTGTGTTTTCATGTAGGAAAACCAGTGCCTATAGTACAAATGAAGTCTGTCGAAGTGCATGGTTCATGTTTCTTTCTGCATGCTTGACACTGCTGGCAGCAGCCTTAAATGTGTTTTACCCTTGAGCAAGAAGACCTCAGCCTCGTGCTGTGGGAGCCTGTTTGATCTCTGATGCCAAGGGTGAGCTCTGGAAGAGTGGGGTGGCAGTTCCACCATGGCTGTTTCCTTTCTCGCAAGTGTTCTGTCTGATACTAATCTGAGGTTACATAAATCATCTCCTCTTAGTTTTGTTAATCTATTCCATTGTGGAGGATTTGCGATACCGACACTGCAGCTGTATTGTAGGCTGGGATCAGGATGTCACACGGTTTGACTGAGCTAGGAACAACCTTGTTGGATGTGACAGATTCCCTGTATTTCTGGGGTTTTTTATCATCATTAATTTTTGGCCCTTGTTTGAAGACTGTTGAGATAGTGCCATAAATCCATTTTTCACATTATTTAACTTCAACCCAAGCGCAGGCTGGTGCACTTTGCCAGATTTCCTCCTCAAAGTGAAGTTTTCCTTATGAAATCACTTTTTTGTTGAGGTTTATATACACTAAGCTGTCCCAGCTGCAGCTCTGCTGGTAGATCTGCTCTTTTTCCACCTTGAGATGCAGGGTCACCAGGGAACAAGCTTGTGTCCTGGATAAGAGCTACATTTGATGTTGCTGGTTTAACTTTCAGGTCTGGAAGGTGAACGTCCTGCACGCCTGACTCGGGGAGAGGCTGACAGGGACACGTACAGGCGCAGCGCTGTTCCACGTGAGTGTCCATCCTCTTGCTGGGTGAACATCAGGCTGACCCTGCTCTTTGTGCAGCTTATCTCTCTGGGAGAATTGTCTTCAGTATTGGCCCCTTTTCAAGAAAAAAAGGGGAATATTAGCATAGGCACTTGCACAACAGTGCATCTGCTCAGAGATAGGAGTCTGATCTTGAATTTTGTCAGGCTATGCCATGGGCTCTTCTCTGGGGTGGGTTCAGTAACTCCTTTAACTGCTGTCTCAGTAACAGCAGTTTTACTTGGCTGTATTTAGCCTCAATTTTAGTCATCTTTGGTAAAGTTTTGATTCCAAGCAGGAGCACTGTGCTCGGGGAGTGGATTCTTTGGTTAGTAACTTATTCTTCTTTTTCTTCAGCTGGTGCAGACAAGAAGGCTGAAGCTGGTGCTGGAGCAGCAACTGAATTCCAGTTTGTGAGTATTTGCAGTCCAGATTTGCTTCCTTTATTGAGGCTTTGATTAGGAGAAATTGGCTGGGTGATACCTGCATGCTCTTTGGTGTGGTGCTTCTTAGGTATTTGGCTCTGATTGTTTAAGAGAGGCTGGCAGCTGTGCTATCCTTTATGCCCAGCTCCCTCGCTGCATTCCTGTTGGGGAAGCTATGTGATGGCTGTCACTCTGCTGTGACAAGAAGCCGGTGACATGTTTGAGAAGCAAGCTGAGTTGTCTGGAGGAAATGCATGATTTCAGACTTCAGAAATAGAGTTCTAGACGTGATCCACAGGGCTGTTTAGGATGGGTTGGTTTTGTTCTTTGTATTGCTCACCTGGTTAACCTGTGTCAGGAAGCTAGTCTCAGACAGATTAGAGTTAGGCTGTGCTTGGAGCAGGAGGTACTTAACAAAGTAATGCAGAGTGGAGCAAAGACAGTTACCTCATCTGTGATGTTGGTGCTTCTTGCTGCTGTGTGTTTGCCACTGTCCCTTGCTTAATACAGTGACTTATAATGCTCTTCCTTTTCTGTTGCAGAGAGGTGGATTTGGTCGTGGACGTGGTCAGCCTCCTCAGTAGAACTTCCTGCTCATGTTTTGTGTATAATAAAATAGGTGAAAATGCCACCTGAGTTGCATCACTGTGTCTTAATCTAAGTGCATAAATCTAGAGCTTGCGTAGCCGAGAAGTGACTCAAACCTCTGGCATGTGAAACAACAGTGGTGAAGTAACTTGTGATTAGAAAACAGGTTATAGAGAAGGAACTTTGTAGGTTTGGTGGTTACTGAGAGGGTTTTGCTAGTGTGTGGAGGTGTTAGTTATGGGGGACTGAGGAGCTTTGGTTCATAGCAGCACTGCAGGCAGTTCTACTCTGCCCGGGAAGATGCTCATTTCTAGTAATTCCAGTGATGCTGGAAAGCAGGGCTGAGACAGAGCTGGTTTTCAGAGAGAAAATTCGGCGATTTCAGCTGCGTCAGCCCCTGTGAGCTGGACACAAGCAGTGCAAGCAGGCGAGCATGTCCTTTATCCCAGTGCTGGGTCGCTGCGTTAATTCCTTGTGGCTCCAGAAAGGTGGGTGTTGGTGACAGGGAGGCGCAGGGCAGGCGCCCTGCAGTGCGCTGCCCACCAGCAGATGTCAGTCGCTGGCTAATGACGGGATGCTGCTAATTGGGAATGGGGTTCAGTAACCTGGGAAATGTAGTGTCCTTGATGCGAATCCAGGGGGAAGGTAGTTTGTTCCAGCCCTGGTTTGGGATGAGGGAAATGGGTGGGCATGAGATTGTTTTATTATTATTTCTTTCTGGGGGAGTTGGAGACTTGGGTGTTCCAAATCTATCTTTTACCTGATCCATCTGCCTCCGCTGAAGTTTGTAGATTATGATTTAGCTAAACCTAATCCAGACTAACCTGCTGAATCTCAGGTGACTGGATTTAGCCAGAATGCACTTCACAGCTGAGCTTTTCATGGGAATGTGCATTGAAGGAGCTCTTTTTTTCAACTTTGCTAGTAAGCTGCTGGGTTGTCCAGGTTTACTGGGGCTTTTTGTTTCTGACTGTTTCATCCTCCAGTATAGCAGCAATGTTTACACTTGGTAGTATTCATTTAGAGTTGTGATTCTGTTTGGGAAGCAGTGATGTGTTAATCAAAACATTCAGCTTAATGGAAAAGTAGGCAACTCTTTCACATCACTTGGAGTATTCCCGTGTGTGGTGGTTGGTATGAAATGCTACCTATTTTCTAAAAGAATATTTGACTTATTAAAGGGAAGGGTTAAAGGGAGGATCCAAATGAGCAAGTAAAAATGGCTTTTGTTTTGGGGTGGAGAACCCCAGTCTTAAATAGAGTCTTCCACGAGGTAAGTATTAACTCCACAGTTTTAGTCTATCAGTCTCTGAACCTGCTGCTGTGGGGCAGAGAGCGGAGCCCATCCTCCTCCTCATGAAGCCTCCGAGTGTTCAGCTGCCTGAGCTGGGCACGGCTGGCCATGGACCTCCTTTCCAGAGGGAGCCTCTGCTGGGTGCTGTCTGGTGGGATCCGGACCTTTGTGTTCCATGCTGCCTGGAGTCACATTATAAAGGCTCCAAGTCCTACCCTCCGTGTCTCTCCTGCTGTAGAGCGGAGGATGCTGAAGCCAAACCAGTGCTGGGCAAATGCTGTTCAGGGACGTGCTCTCCTTGGCCAGGGTTTTCCTCCTTGGGGAGCACACAAAGCTGGGGCTCTGGCACCTCTGGGATCCGGACCTTTGTGTTCCATGCTGCCTGGAGTCACATTATAAAGGCTCCAAGTCCTACCCTCCGTGTCTCTCCTGCTGTAGAGCGGAGGATGCTGAAGCCAAACCAGTGCTGGGCAAATGCTGTTCAGGGACGTGCTCTCCTTGGCCAGGGTTTTCCTCCTTGGGGAGCACACAAAGCTGGGGCTCTGGCACCTCTCAGAGTCCTGAGGGCGCTGTCTTTGCACTGGGGTGATGCTGATCCTGGCTGCTCGGCCCTGGGAGCGCCTGCGCTAGTGGGGGGCTATGCAAGTGACCCCCCTCCCCGTGATGCGGCTCGGTGCAGAGGAGCCCATGCGGGGTGCGGAGCC